GCAAATCGCTCATCAATTGATTAGCCACAGATGCTCTAATTTTGCAACACTTTATACATTTTCTAACTAAATCTCTGATAACAGTTCTACCACTAATGATCCAATATTGTTCTTGAATGCAAGATTGTATGAGTTCTGGAGCTGCATGCAAAAGTATTTCATGGTAATGTCTAACAATGAGATGAGTTAACTTACCCTTAATGATTCGCTTTTGCTTTAAAATAGACTCCATATTCCTGCTGCTATTCTCACATTCCAGACAAAAATAAATCCGTTTTCTTTGCACGAGATGTCCTTCTATTTCAGAACGTTCAAAATGGCTTGACACATCATCCCAAGTACTGTGCTGGCTTACGACGGACCATGTTACTCCGGCTGCTATGAACCATGTTTTATTGAAGATTGAAAAGCTTTGAAACTCAAATGCTTTGAAGCATTGAAGTAAGGGGAGGGCATATCCCTTACTCAGTAATATCTGCTTGTTGTTCTTTTTCTTGTACAGACAATCATGTGTAACGATACCATGAGTTCAATAAAGCCTTTTATTGTTTGATTCCGTAATGTATTCATTTTTTGCGCAATTATGCTTTCGTCGTCGTTTAAATACAAAATGCTGTCTCTCATTTCTAAATTTCATGTCTCTCAGATGATTTTTTATGGAGTTACGGCAAAAAGAACACCTCTTGCTTAAGTTTTGCACGCCAGTGTATTATATTTTAGTTCAACGGTAACTAGCTTTTTCTTTCATACTTTTCTAATTTACTAATGCCGTTGTTATGCTTTATTCTTAAAGTTAAAAATTTTCTTGTAATGTTTGATTTTGAGTAAATCAGAAGGGGGGGAGGATATTATGCCTGTAACGATCTGGCGAGAATTTTGCTTCACCGCGAAGGCTGTAATCATGGTTAAAGAAAATACAAGCTGCAAGCACTGGGTCTGAGGATTTGCGCGCGATTTACCGAAAGTTGTCATTAGTTTAAAAGTATTCTGTTCTAAAGTTACGCTTTTCGTATGCGTCTCTAAAACTTAATTTTATTGTGTGTAGGCAGTTAGGATGTCGGTGAGAAAATACGAAATGAAATTCGTTGAAAATGAAATTTGCATAGGAGCTGAAGTTTCAATTTGTTGCTGTCGGAAAAGAAGGTCCCTCGTTTCTAAAATTGTAATGTTAGAGTTCTAAAAGATTTCGAGTTAGGCAAAAGCGTGTCAGACTTATTCTCGACATGCAGATAAGTAAAGTTTTTTTCGTTATTGCGGGGTGAAATATTTGTAAATATAACTGTGTAAGGATTATGTTAATTTTATAAACAGTTAAATTTTAAGTTAAAGTTCCTTTTCCTGTCAAATTCTTAACTTCAACTTACTACTTCCAGCCAGAACGTAGTTTTGGAATTTGCTGAATATTTAATGAGAAGGAACGGTATTTAAACCACGAAGTTACTTACCGAGACAGAGAGAGATAAACAGAGTTTCTGAATTACGCGCGTCTGCCTTTTTGGCCGCTCTCTCTCTCAAAAGCTGTTATACGCTCGGCCGTACTCAGGCCCTTGCTAAGCTTCGTAGTAAAATAGGTTAAGGGGCCAACTCTCATTGTACCTTGTTAGCTTTGGCTATACTTAGTTAGTTAATCTTAGTTTTAGTTTAATTCTTAGTCTTTTAAGTTTAAGTGCAAAGTGCGGACTTTATTTGTTCACTCCCAGGCGGAGTTTTGTGAAATCTTATAGAAATAATAAAGGGTTATTTACCCTTCTCTCTTGTTGTTTCCTGTCTTCGAACTCTAGCGATTATTCGCCTATCAGTTCCTAGGTTCCTCACTTCCAACATTAACTTAGAATTTCAAGTGAGGGACCTTACAACTGTATAAATAGAATTGTGTAAAATATTCAAACAATTAAAAATGGTATTTTATTTTATCGTACTTAGCTCATCATTCTGTATCACAGCCTGATCTGCTTGCAGTCAGGTGAGTAAAGAATAATATATATCTAGTGATGAGGAGATTTTGAATTTTGCTGACGATGGTATGCATCCAAAATGCTATTAGTTATAATGAAATTTTATCGCAGTTTACAAAATGCAGGTTTCTACTTTTAACTTTTTACACCACTTTTATTTTAATACACTTTTATACACTTTTTATTTTAATATTTTTTATTAATACCATGAAAGAAAAGAAATGTTAGAAAAAAACGGAGTTTTCAAAATTGTTTTCGTTCAAATTCGAACTGTTCTTGACTTTTAATGTTACTCAAGAACAGAGATTTAGTTTCATGAATTAGGTATTATTAGATACTTAGATATTATTACCTCGCATCAGCCTAAAAGAACGGAAATGTTTTCGGTCTAAAACTACGATACTAAATTTTCAGTAAATAAGCACGAATTTAGATACCCACAACACGTTTTTACTATTTTTACAATGATGTCTGTGTATCTATATGTGCACGAAGATTTTTCGTGCACTATAAACTAGGAAGCATATCAAGAATATTCATTATCCCCAACCAGACATACGGCCAAGCTCATACCCGAAGAAGTTACTGAAACGCAAGGCACAAATCAAATAGCAAAGTGGTATGAATGTGAAGAAGCCGCCGCACAATTCTACTACATCACACAAGTAGAAGACAAACGCAAGATAACGTCCCCGGAATTGACAGGATTTATTCCGGGAAATGGTTCGTTTTCCGAATATTACACGGCGTCAAAAATACCGATCTCTATGTCTGTAAAGAAGTTAGTACCCCATAACATAATCGAACCATCTGCTCATTTACTAGAAAACACCAACTTAAAATCCCCAGTAACAATACTCAAGCCTTCTGCAAGATTATTTTAAAAACAACGTCATCAGGCGGCAAGGATAGCCCCAATTATCGACAAGCTTTCAAAATTCGGAGCTGCCCTATGTCTTGTTATTTAATTTATTTTTAAAAAATTTATCTAACCTTTTTTGGATGGGGTTAATAGGAACAGTGCCTAGAATAAGAATTTACTATTCACTCAGTTTGTTTCTAAAAGTTTAACTCTCTGTACCACTACTACATTTGAATGTAATGAAACATAAGTTTTCAAATTTCTGTGAAGTCTGTAAAGTGTTGTCTTTGTAAAGTGTATTTGGGATTTTTACTATTGTATGTTCTTCTGTAAAGTAATTTGAGTACCTGAAATAATATAATAATTATGTTAATTATGTAATTATGTCCTGAGCCACAACGGTTACAATATCTTACAATGTTATTTGATGATGGATCTCCTAATGCTAAATATGGGGGAACGCGAGACAATACCACCTAAACTTTTGGTAGAATGAAGGTGTCTCCGTCTCCCGTCAACTGTCCACTAAACTATCAAACTATCGAACTTCCAAAAAAGTTCCATTTTCCATATTTAATTTTTTTTCAATCATTTTAAGAATTGAATAGATTTCGGTTAGAACTGGACAACCTAATGATACTTTATTTGAAACCCATGAAAACCTGTTTGCACAAGCGAGCTTTGAACCCAAGAAACGCGCATGAAAACTAATCAGCTAAAGAGAAGAAAAAGGTACTTACTATTTTTACCCCCTACACTAACCTATATGCATAGGTAAGGAAGGTAATGTTTCCAGCCCAAAAATTCGATAGGAAGTTTTTTGTGTATAAGAACGAATTAGAACCCCCCCAATACATTTTTATTATTTTTACAATGATTTTTGTCTGTGTGTTTATATATACATCTGATGAATTTTTCGTCCAAGATTACTTTTATATGAAACTTCCCAAAAGTTCGGTTTTCCGTATTTAAGATTTCTACATTTGTGTAAAGACTTGATTACATTTTGGGTAAAATTGGATAAATTTACAGGAAGCCCATAACAATCTTTAATGGACAATCGGTACTTTACTTGAAACCCATTACAGTTTTTAATAAAAAAACCATATTAAAATATAATCCAAATCTTTTCAATTTTAATATTTAAGACATTTGTATGAATGGAAGGCATACTAGATTTTCGCTAAAATTGATAAATCGGAAATAATCTTTTTCTTGAAGCTCTGAACACATTTTCGTAAAAAAATATATTATGAGGTAATCCAAAACTTTTAAAATGCGATATTTAAAATAGGTATATGATTGAGAATGATATATTAATTTTATAAGAATTAAATGTATTCTTAAAATTATGCTAAATGCAACGAGAATAAGCTCATTATGAAGCAATTAAATGTATAACGCTCAGTCTTCAATTTTGTGTTCGTTTCACTTTTGTGTCGAATCACTTTTCAAATAAAAGGATGATGCGGCTACCAAATTTTATGACAATTTATTTATTTTTTTTTAAAGAAATAATATAACTAATGTAAAATGAAAAGTATGACAACACTTAAAACACTCTATCGGGAATTCTAAAGATATGCTGTTTTAAAAATGTGTCGATTGTTAGATCATTCATTTATGAAACTAAAACACTATATGACCAGAATATATGCTACGATTGATGCGATATTTTCAGATCAAAGCTGGAGAGCTGATATGTACATTAGCACGGATAGTTACTTATCCTTGACAAATGCACGGAAGAAAAGAATAATAATTAATGAGTTGTGTTTATAATTAACATTGAGTCATTAAATTTATGAACAAATCAGATTTTATTTATAAATGATCAATCGGAAGTGAGAGTTTGTTTGAAGCTCATTGCTATACTACCAATTCTATATCATGACATCGAGAGATCATGCGCTATTTAGCTTCATAAGGTCCCCCACCTCTTATTTTTTGTTATTATTTTTAATGCTCATTTTTTTTAAACATTTGAATGATAAACTTTTGGAGAGATTCTAGTTCTTGTTTAACTCTTAATTGACAGTTAATTTTTCTCTTATTTCTTATAATTCAAAAATTTATTATTTGTCTTTTATCCTAAATTTTAGTTATATGTCTCTTTAACGAGTTACTTATTTGATTAAATATAATATTGATATGATTTGTTTAATCTATAGCAATTTTTTCAGGTGCTGTATCTGGCTTCCTCAGCCATAGCATTAGCGTTCGAACACTGGCTGTCTTTGGGACTATTTTAGCATCTGTGTCCGTTATCACTTGTAGCTGCGCTTCTCATATAACACATATTGCTGCTTTATACGGAGCTTTGCAAGGCAAGTAATAATGTTTTTCCTGTAATTTTTGGTATTATATAAAATCTTCTACAATGTATCTCGTACTAAGTCTTGATTTTTGCGTTATTTACCCTAAACTTAAACTTTCATTCACGTGTAAATGCAATATAAAAGATTTTTATTAAAGAAGAAATACGTTATATTTCTTTAATTGTTTACAAATATACCTTCTGACCCACCAGCGGCCCAGCGGTAAAAGCTTCTGAACACTGGTGGTTCGGAACGGGCTTCGAGTCCAGGCAAACGCGCTGGCTGCGCCCACCAGCGGCCGAGCGGTAAAGTCGCTGAACACTGGTAGTTCGGTCTGAGGTTCGAATCCCGCGAACGGGCTGGCGTTTTCATGGTTTTCCCCATGTGTAACGTGTATACGAGCCAGTTTTCCTTAGAAAGTCCTCCACGAAGGCATCCCTCCTCTTAGGCAGATATCCCTAGTGTGCTTTGCCATAATTAAATACACACGGGATGGCTGCATGGACGTTTTCGTTGTTTTCCTCATGTGTAACGTGGATACGAGTCAGTTTTCCCTTAAAAAGACCTTAACGGAGCATCCTTTTTTTCTCGTGTAGTGCCTAAGGACGGAGCATGCAATGGCTAAATATATATAAGTAATAAAAAAGGGGCTTTTCAATGCTGATGGTGTAGAAGATTGAATCTGTAATAAACAGCAAGAATTTTGATGGTGTCAATGCTGAAATGCCGATCCACAATGAATAGGAACCTGGCAGTCGAGGCAGATTAAATCTTCATTTTATTTCGGTAAACATCTTCCGGCCACAAACAACTTGGCACATTATTTTTTCTTATTTCAAAAACATTTACATTTTTGATAACTTTGCAGGAAGAAGGAAGCAGCAGACAACAGTCTAGCTAGGCCTGAAGATTAGCGAGTGAGTGCGTTATGTGTAAGGTGAAATCTTAATTCAGACTGAGTTAGTTTTGGTTCTCAGTGCACTTTGACTGGATAATTAATACTGATGCAAAATTAGTATTGGCTGTTTGATTTTTAGTTCCATTTTACATCGTCAGAAATATGTAAGAGTAACATGGATTAATCTCGAAATGGTGCAGTGCAGAAAAGAGATTACTATTTTTAGAATAGAGAAGGGAAATTAATTTTACCTTTTACATATTCTTTAATTTTCTTACACACACACACACACACACATATATATATATATGTAATGATTTTAAACTGCGTAGAGGAAAACAGTGGAACTTTTAACAGCTTACGATACTGCGTAGATGACCGAGAAGACCGTAGTGTGGCAGAGTAGAAAACATGATGACGCAATTTAGCACAATGCATTTTGAAAAATCACAATCTTTATTTTTTTACGCATATCAAACCATTATTTTTTAGACAAGATCGTTCCTAATTATGTTTGAATACAGAAGTTGCATTTTGAACTACGACGTCGTTTTAAGCAAGTGTTGAGGAACGCCTATAGAGGACGCTGTACCCCGCCTGGTTCTTCAGTGTAGAATTACTTAGCTGCTTGTAAGGGAGTCGCCGGCCTTAATAATTAACGGCACAATTAATACTACACTTTATTTCAGTAATCATGTAAATAAATTTCTTTGTTGTTGTGTTCAAAACTGATCCTTTCATCCCCTATTACGTACAAACTGAACCACCAAGATAGTTACAAGTTTTGGATTAGTAAAAACGCCAAAGCAAGTAAGCGGCAGCTGCATACATGAAAAGCATCCGGCAGGAGGTCTATGCGGAAAAAGGAAAGAATGTCACAGAACTTCAGAGGAAGAAGGGTGGGAGGGGGAAAGTTTCAGTTCAGAGTTTTGGTTTACGATAAATTTGATTGGACAAGAGGCATCTACATTAAAACGTTACGTAAGATCGAAAAATCTGGAACCTGTGAGAAGAGATGAAGTTAGGGGCAGATCACCAAATTTAGAATGTTAATTTTAAGTTCGCCAATTATTTTTTTGAAACAGCTATCATATTTTGTTATATCTTACATATATATATATATTAATATATATATATATGTCTTTTAAAACACGTTATTCATGCCACATGAAGTATCCTCAATCTTATGGAAAGACGATTTAAGCAGTTTCTCTTCTTATAGAATATCTGTTTCCTTCCCCCACCCATCTTGTAGACGAAACAGATTGTTTCATCATAGATAAAAAACACAGTGATATGAAGCATCTATTACACATTTAATTTCAGCTTGAATTGTGGGTATAAATTTGTTTTAATACGCAGGTGCAAATTAATAGGCAAACCTACTTGCACCAAAATTTTTAAGGATGCATGAAAATTTCCCAAACTCGCTGTATTAGCAAAACAGTTAATTTCCAATTTTGAATTTCATCTCCTTAGAAATAATCTTTTTGCACAGCAGTGCAGCGGTTCCAGTGTTCTTGCATCTAATGGCCTCGACACAGCATCGAAGCCATTTTCAGTAAGCTAATACATAATCTTTTGAGATTCGACTTGATCGTGGACATGAATGATGGTTATCCATGGCACACTCACAGAAACCTTCGCACGCTGCGACGCTGTGATTTTCTGCTTCAAAACAGCAGTTAAGAGACAAACATGGGAGAGACACACCGAGTGTTCAGTTTCAACGATAGGATTATTTGCGTTGATCTGTACAACCCACCAACAATGTTTCTATAATGTCTCTAATCGTCGTATTAACACTGTTATATTTCTTGGCCTATTGCCTTCTTAAAGCCTATTGCCTTCTTGGCCTATTGCCTTCTTTTACTTCTTGAAAGTCACTAACCTGCGAGCGCAACCTCGCGCTGCCATTTATTAGTGCGCTACAGAGCATGTCCGAGAACTTTTTGATGCACCCGTGGGATCCACACACGGGCAAGCAAATAAGCGACCGTCCAGACAATATAGTGGTTAGGAGAGCCGACTGCGATACTGAAGAACTCGGGTTCAAATTCCGGAGAAGACATGGATGTGAATTGTTTGTTCCCGATGGCAGCCTATTAATTGCTTTCATAATCAAATGACCACCACTTCTAGCCTTAGTAGTGGCGAAAGCCTACAAATGGCTAGTGCCCGCCATAAAAAAAAGTATAGCCTGTCTGTCAGAAGAAGAAACTTTTCATGCCTACAACACGTGGTGTTGGACAGTCCCTGCATCTTAGACCGAAACTAATACCTTACGTTTTATAACAATGAAATTCGTATTTACTCATTTGCAAGTCTGGATGGGTTCTGTGCGTCTTTCTTCTCAGTGAAATGAACTCACCTGCCTAGGAAAAGGGAAGTCTCTTTTCGTCGTGGATAGACTATATATTTATATAAACGTAAATGACAGTTTATTTTTGACAAGCTGATCTTGCACCATCGACAGCAAACTGACCAAAAAAATCAATAGGTATTGTAATTTATTTTCTTTCATTACGCGAAATAAAATTATTCTCTTAATTAATAACAATTTATTAAATATTATTCTCTTAATTTACTAATTTGTGAAGTAACTGCATTTATTGCACATTCGCCTGAAATATAAATTTTTTAAATGTTAACTGAATTTTGGATCATGATACAACTCTAAACATATAATTTTTTTGGTAAAGTGATTCTAGAAAATAATTCAGTTAGTCAAATAGATTTCTTTCGAGCTTCCCATTCTCAACAGCATTTGTTAATTTTAGTTATTCATGTTTATTCTAATTTTACGCTATAAGCTATTATTTATCATTTTCTAACTAAGTTATTTTATGCTTCTTTTTTAAAACGTTTTTCTGCTCAGATTTTTAAGCCTCCTATTTCTCTTAAATTTTCTACTCAATTGTTTTTTTCCTCCTTTTTATCTCAGTGCGACTTGAATTTCGAAGATCAGCAGAGTCGAGACTATGTAACATAACTGAAAATTCATTTAAAATTTTCCCTATGTCTTATGTCTTTCCTTAGTTGCATTTTTCTCCGTATAATTACTTCTAAAACAAAAACGCGTCTGAGTCATTGATTCTTCCATATTGCCAATCATGTGGGATTAATTAATATCATAAATTGTTAACTTAATAGCTGTACGAATATTGTAAACAAATCTAAGTCAGCTGCTGAAAAATATTTGTTTGGATATATTTTAACTTTTTTTTTCTCTTCTTAGAAATGAATTTCTGAGAAAAAAAAACCATTCCATTGAAAGTATTGAAATTAAAGGCTGCTCTTAAAATCGATGGCGCCTTAGAATCGAAGGAATACGATATTTCGAAATTAGAAGCGAAACATAGCTTCAAGTAATTAATAAAGCGACATTTGCAGAATAAATTTATTCACAAAAACGTTTCTTCTGATAAAAATAGTAACTCTATGCTTTCTTAAATAATAAAAATGTTTTCTTTTAGGTATTGGTATTGGTATTATTGTGCCTTTAACCAACGTGCTCCTTAACCAGAATTTCTCCAGGTACAAAGCATGTGCCCTTGGCATCGTTTATTCTGGTTCATCAATTGGTTCTTTCATATTTCCACCCATAACGAACTTTTTTCTAAACGGCTATGGACTTCATGGAACATTTTTACTGCTCGGAGGCATTATGCTGAACTCATTGGTCGGTGCCATTTTATACAGAACACCGAATTTGGCCCACAAGCTTGCAGTCTTGAAGACCCCTCTGGATGGCAAATCGTGTACCAAATGCGAGGAAGAAGAGAAGAGCACTGAAAACAACAAAAGTCTGTCTTTAGGTAATTATTTATGAGAAAGATGACAAAAACATAATAACACTTTATTTTTAAGATAATAACTGTTACCATTAACTGTGCAAAATGTTGCATTGGTGATGTCATTAGGAAAGGAAATCTACAGTTTATTATTAATGTTCACTGTCTATATATAATTTACATTCTCGCATTTTATTCTTTCACTGCTGCATGTCTGCTGATTAAGAAACATACAAAATAATCAATTTTAATGCATAAAATTATGTTCGATTATAGTAAAACTCTGTTTATCCAAACTAATTTACGACAAAGTTAATTTTTCTTTGGGCAAGATTGTAATTAATGATAAGCACTAACTACTTAAACAGGAATATATATTGCAGTTAAACTTGCATATACAGGAAGGGGAAAACACGCTTTACGCGGATTGCATGTGGGCGAGGCTATACGAAATTGCACATAATACAAAATATATTATTTAGAGAGACTAACAAAATATGATATGTTAATTATTTCTTGCTTTAAGCAAGTGATTCATGCATTGTTTTATTTTCGATTAAAGCGTACTTTTAATCCCAAAGATAGTTATTATATTCAAGAAACATTGCGTAAATGACGATATTCATGTTGTAAAACATACGACATTTAATATTACTCATTTTCAAATTAGAGTAACATAGCGTTTCTCAAACTTGTTTGAAGTAAAGACAAGTTTTATAAATTAAAATGTTCTACAACCACTCTATTGTCTGCTTAGAAAGCAGTTTCTTTGGCATGTGTTACTCACTAGCAGCATCTTATATTTTTAAAATGCAGTTAATTAAAACTCGTTTAATTTTACATCGATATTTAGTAATTAATTTAATAGAAGAAAATTTATATTCCTTTTTAACAGTTCAAGACTGTTAGAGTTTAGGTAATCTTTATCTTCTTAACTAAAAATTAAATAAATAGGATTCTTGCACAACTGTTTTATGTTTTCACGAAATGCTAATAGATATGCAGAAGCAAACTGTACAGTTCACTATATTAAGTTTTTCATTGGGGGGGGGGGGGGTAATGACCTCAGCAGCACTAGATGTGTAGCGAAATGATAGCGAGAAGCATCACGGTGATAATGCTTTAAATCTGCTTTTTGTGGCTAAGATTAGAGTGGGGAAGTCCATAGGTTAGGGTAACTGGTAATAAATTTCATGAAATGTCAATGTTGGGAGAAAACGTGACGGACGATTGCAATGTATAATTTCCATGTTTAGAGATTTTCAGCTATAATGTGGTATACGCAATTCATTTGAATTTTATTTTTGATCTTTCTTAGAAATCTAAGAAGATCATAAAGGGAAGCTTCGAGGGCTACTTGTAATTTGTGAATTACGTACTGAGAAACGCTGGGATACGCTTATAATAAAGGGATAAATATTAATAACTATGGTTCAGTAGACTGTGTTAGACTACAAAACAGGCCTCATTTCTTTAATTTAATGCGTTGAAGATGCGCGATATGACAATCAAGGTGTATTGCTGCCAGTTCTGAGGTACACTTACCATGTCGCGACACGACATAAAATGTCCTGATAAACATTAATGATCTCTTGCCGAATTGTATTTTTAAGGTTGTTAATGTCAGATAAGTTACGAATGAAAACATCAGCTTTCAAAATAACTCCATTATAAAACCTTTATGTACTTCCCTAGGCGATTTCTTACACATTTTATGACATTCATGGTTCTCATTCAATTCCCCAGAACTTGCTCAAGCTCATATTTTTAATGAGGATACTTTGAAAGCTCAAATTCTCACTCACACCCTATTTGATACTAACACCTTTGAAAATGCAGTTTGTTAGGAGACTGAAAATGTCGCGTCAATTCATGGCAAGTGAAATACGGAGAAAGGAGCAATGCGTAGATCTTCATGGAGGGTATTTCCAAGATATTGTATTAAAGAAATGAGAATTCTTTTGTAAATCCAAAATGCTGAATTATCTAACCTTCTAACCGCGTTCCATTCTGCTTATTGTTGGGAACAATAGATATGTTATCCGATGCTGAAAACGGATAATGTTAAATGCCTCACTCTATACTTTGATAACATTTCATAATAAAATGTTAAAATACTACTCATTTTGAAAGACGATAAAGTTTTAGTATTAATACTCATAAATCCATTAAACATTTTAAAAATTCATAAAAAATAAACTAAGAATGCAATATCAAACATTATTACACTGAAATAGAGGTAAAATTTTAAGTTTTTTTTTACTCTCAAAGTATTCCTTTCGTTAACATATGCGTCATTTGGATGGATTTACTTCGACATACCGAAAAGCTAGCCGATTTCACAGTTAAATAAAAACAGTGATGATCATCTTTGAGCAAGACAATTATCAGGCTCTCGGCTAGACTCTCTAGAGACTCTCTCAATTCTCTACAGAGCGTCATCGAGATAATTTGCTACAATCTCTTACTCAAAATCTTCCACAAGGATAAAAATCATTTGTAGACTGTACAAATTCAAATTTACTATTAAATTAGTTAGTTTACACGTGATGAGGAGATGATGCATTAATGCTGTAATCACGCAATCTTCGGATTTAATCTCATATGACTTTTTTTTGTCGGTGTTTGTCAAGGATACTGTATTTGTGTGGTCATTCTCTGCTAGTCTTCAGGATATTCGCAAGCGTTTCATCGTTACTTTAACTTAGTGTGCTATACTGGCATGTATGTGGAACGAAGTAGGTTAAAGCATAGTTGTGTGCCATATCAGCAGAACTGGACATTCAGCATTCGTGAAATGCATATGTATAAGAAATAAAAAATAGGTAAAGTAATATAACTTTAATTTGCATAAGTCCCTTAACTCTCCATTTTAATTTGGTCACTTCTCCTTTCCGTCCTATAATTCTAGCTTAATGCTCATGACTCAGATGCTTATATAATGCTTCAGCCAAAAATAATGATTTCAAATTTGGGAATCGAATATTATTAACGATTAGGAATTAATTTGAACTGAAAACAATTCATTCTAAATGAAACTTGTATCTTAAAAGCGTCGAATCCTTGCCCTTATTTGCTGTCCTATGAGCATGTTGTCTCTTATCTCTCGTTCATCAAGTGTTTCGACATAACGATTGCGCGCAGATTGTGCCTGTTGCATTTTGTAAATCAAATTAGGAAATGTGTCTTTGAAGAATAAAATATATTCATTCTATCTCAAAGACTGCAACTATCTTTATGCATCAACGTTTACTTTATGTTTACGTGATGAATTTGTAAATCGTCACATAAGTAAACTTAATATATTTGCCTCTGTTTCAGTGTAGTGAATATTACATCTATTGCGAAGAATATTTGACTTAAATTTTTCAGATATTTTCCAGGTTTATGATAAACCGCAAGTTTTATAAACAAGATATATTTATTTGTTAAATCGAATATGGCACATTAAGCAAGATAGATCAGTAAAATTTGTTAAGCATCATATCAGATATGAATGCATAATTCACAAGTATTAAAAATACTAGAATAACTAATTTCATTTATGTTTAAAGAACTTTGATATATGTTTTCCTTACAAGTCAGGCTAAAACTGCAATAGATTTTTCTAAATATATATAATAAAATCCTCTAGGTTCTCAAATCCCTATGGGGACAAAACTATTCTCTCTTAGATACACTGACCTGATTTCTATTTATTTGCTTGGTTATCTGTTTAACTGAATACAACAAAGTACCCGAAGATTATCTCAAACTGATACTAGACCAAGGACTAAGAAATTAATTAAAAAAATGTTGAGCCTGTTTTCATTCAGATTTAGCATGTTAAGGAAATTTTGCTTGCTGTTAATCCTGGTATGAAACTAAGGTTCAAAGTCTAGCAGAAACTTGATAAAGCGATCGACAGCTATCTCATATTGCATGATCAAATGAGAGTATCGAGGAATTCTCAATTACTTTTTTTTTTAAATCTTTATTAACTTCAATAATTTATCCGCTAATATAGTTTATACACTTTTTCAAATATTCAACAACCGATTGATAAATTTTAATTATCCCTACTGTTTATTGTATTCGCTTAATACACATCAATTGGTAGATTAATACATCGCTTTCCTATATGCATTACAATACCTTTGCATATCTGTATCATCTCAAACAGTGACTGACCTTTTTTGAAGCGTTTTTCAATCAGATTGCAGCTTAATATTAACTGTATTTTCTGTTACGATTGACTAGCTTTTATAAAGAATAAAAAGCTCACTTTAAATGCGTTTCTGCTAATCTGACGTCAAACGTTCGTACCTCGTATATAAAGAGAAACTATAAATCACAAATGCGTCTTCACTTTTAATGACTTTTATCTCTCAATTACCAAATAAGACTACCTTTCGTCGCATGTGAATGAATTAGAAACTAATAGAAGATTCTTGCTAGACTTCTAAATAAAATCCAACAGGTAAAAATCAAAGAAGCAATTCAGAGAAGTCTGCGAGTTATGAAGAGTAATAAAAGGAAAAAAGCCAAGTCAAATTTTGTAGATATTTTTCACTTTTATATATTTTGGTTTTAATAATTTTTATCAAAAAGAAGACATATTCAAACATACAGACGAAAAAAAATATAGTATTTGCGAGTGATGAGCAAAATGATTTTGCATTATAACGTTTGCACAGCATTCTATCGTTATTTATTTGTTTACTTATTTTTATGCAAATTCTCAATATGCGCCAGGATTTATTTGAGATAAAGTATACGAAGTGCCAGTATGTTATTTTAAAACTTCACTGATATTTTTAATGTCCGATATTGCATCGCGGGAATATATAAAACTGTATAGCTTTGAGAAAAGTATTATGTATTTTCCTTCATCGTGTTTCTTTACTTCATTTATTTTGTTGTCATATGATTTCAGTTACGAACATTTTTCTCAGAGAATCACAAAAAAATTGCATAATTTGGGGAATTTGTTACTTATAATTTTCTTTTATTATATATATTTTTTACTTTTGCTTATTTTGTTGGCGTATGATTTTTACTTATGCTTATCTTTTCTCAGAGAATGGTAAAAGAAGTCACTTCAGAGAAAATATTTCTGAGAAAGCAACCGAGTGCATTGCGCCAGATCCAGAAAAGTCACCAGGAGTATCTACTTGCTTCAAATGCGAATCTCCGCCGACTGTCATAAACCTCGCCGTTGAAATCTTAGCTAATCCATCCTTTTTGATAATTTCAGCTGTGTACGCTGCTTATTTCACATTATCAAATACTTTTCTTATGGTTGTTATCGATTTCGCTGCAGGTTAGTTTGATGGTTTTATTTTGTTAAAGAAAGCTCTATATTGTAAACTGCATTTATAAAATAACATTACGTGATTTTTTAAGTATTCTGCTTCGATATTCTTTATCCGACGCTTAGACACTTGTTTGTTAAGCATTCGTCGAGAATGGTTAAACGCGTTTGTCATTTAGTCCTCTCATCGCCGAGAACATTGACCATTGTGCACCACAATCTGTGACCGATATTACACCAGCTAAGGGATAGAGAAAAACGTTGCCCTACCAAGGGTATCCTATACGTGCTCTAAAGTGTTAAGGTCAGGGGATCTGGCTGGCCAATCCATGCTGCGAATATCCTCACGTTCCAGGTAATCGTCGACCAGTTGAGCACTGAGGAAGACCTTTGTCGTCCATTAACAGGAGCCCAGGACCAACTGCTCCTCTAGAAAGTCGAACATAGGGCTTTAGGGTCTCCCCTCTATACCTCATAGCAGTCAGGGGGCCCTTTTTCAGACACATTCATGGATGTGCGACCGTCCAACATTGCACCTGCTCACATCCACCATGTAATGTTCCTTTTCCCTGATGAAGAAGGGATGGTATCATTTTCCTACCTGGAAAATTATCTGTATCTGTGCAGATACAGTTTCGCGGAGAATTAGTGTCCAGACTGAATATCAACTCATCTGTAAAAAGCACAGTGCTCCACTGAAGTCTAATCCAAGGCGCATTTTGGCTGCACCATGCTAAACACGCTCTCTTGTGTGCTGCAGTGAGCGGGACGCAAATAACGGATCATTTTGGTACACAGTTCTGTCTCATGAGGCCTTCGGGCAACTATAGACCGTGAAATACTGCTTCCAGGGTAGCATACAGCTGATGTGAAAGCTGTGAAGCTGAAGTAATCCTGTATCGCCGTGCTGAAAGTCCTAAATAACTATCCTCACTCGTCGTTGTGGATCTTAGTTTACCTTGTCCTGGTCTTCCCGATATGAATCCAGTGTCCTGAAACTAATTCCACAAATTACAAAGGACAGTGGGCTTTACATTGAGATCTGTAGCCATAGCCACTTGCTCTTGAAATTGATTGGCCTGTCCCCAATCTACCTAGAATTCTATATCTCATTTCATCATTCATGCATTCATGGCTACTTATTTTACCTGATACCTTATAAAATTTACCTGCGAGAAACACGGGGAATGTCTTGAAGGAGTACGAGCATTCGGTGTACGCCCAAAACGTCGCGGAGAAAACAACGTTAGACGAAAACGTCGTGGTACAAAAACATCGTGGGAGAAAATAAAGCAAAGAGAAAAAAAAAAAACCTCGCATTTCTAAAACGCCGTGCCACAAAACATCGTCGTCGAAAATAAAGCTGTTTAAAAACTTCGCAATTTAAAAACATCGTCGATGAAAATATCATGGTAAAAAATAAAGTACCTACAAATCATCGAATGACAATAACATCGCAGACATGCGTTTTTCAGGCTTTAATAACTGTAAAATGTAATAACGTTTTGTTTAATCATTGTAAAAACTCGCATAATGGTTTGTGAGCGCAAGATGTAAGGAAGGATAATTTTTACTTTCATATTTTTATTAACTAATAAATATTTGCTGAAAATGTAACATGGAAACTTAAGTATAGAAAATTAATGCAATTTATAGCACTTAAAAGAATTTCAAACTGACATAGTTAACTAAAAGGTTATTAATAAAATAGTTTTTACAAGTTTTACTGGTAATTTTTGATGAAAAGTATTATCTAAAAAAGAATAGAAAAAGAAAGATAAGTAAAAAATTGCTAAGTTATTGTGAGATAATTTTCTTCACTTTTGTTTTCTGATACTCTTATAATGAAAATTACTTCTCGTTTTATTTAAATTACTTGTTTTCTTTTTTTTAATGTATTATTAATAAAAAATACGAATGTGAAAATTATCCTTTCCATCTTGCGCACACAAATCATGATGCGAATATTGATTTTCAATTAAAAATCATGTCTGCGATGTTATCGCCATACGATAATTTGTAGGTACTTTACTTTTTTACCACGATATTTTCGACGACGATGTTTTTAAACTGCGAAATTTTTGAACCGCTTTATTTTCGACGACAATATTTTGTACCACGATGCTTTAGAACTGCGATGTTTTCTCTTTGCTTTATTTTCTCTCACGATGTTTTATATCACGACGTTTTCGCCTTGCGTTGTTTTCATCGTGACGTTTTCGTCCGCGATGTTTTTGTCGTGGTGTTTTCGGCTGTAACCTAGCACTCAGATCGCTAAAATTTCCTCTTGCGCTTATATTTTATCCACAATCACAGCTCTGCAGATACACACGTGTACGCTTACGTTTTTGACTGTGAATATTTGCATAATTCTCCCGCGACATAACTAGTACCTATGGTTCAATACTTTTCATAAAAATAGACACAAATCGCAAATTTTTATAATTTTGCACACGAATGTAGTTGCATACTTTAAATTTTTGTTTCATAAAAACTATTGAGGTTTTAAATTCCTGTCAGACCTGAATTGATTTAATAACTGTTATAGCTTAATGTTGGTAGGTCAGATGTAAAATTTTGAGGTAATTCTTTGATATTATTTTTATTTAGTTATTATTTTAAATATTTAATCGCTTAAAACCATTTACATAGGTACTAAAAGAATTATCATTTGCTTCGTTTATTTAATTCTAAATAATAATCAAACTAAGTAAAATAATTTAGCAGTATTGAAATTTAGACAACTTTTTAAAACTCTTATTGAATTTGCTGCTTAACGAAATAGTGTTAATTCTTCTAAAGTTTATATGATGTCTGTGCGATAGATAAGACAATATTTTATTGCTGAATATAATATATGTACCTGGGACAAATAAGTGCAAAATCAATTCCTTTCAGTTCCAAACAGTTATCTATATGTCACTGCAAAATTTAGATATCCTAATTTTAATATTTTCGGAGAACGATTTTTCAGTTAACTGTACTATGTGCAGTTCTTAAATTTAGGGTTTCAGCGTAGTGGGTATGAATTTTTAACATATTATTAACATTTAACAGCTGAGGATTAATGAAATGTTAATTATCATTCGCTTTGTTACAAGAGTAGTTGAGATTCTCAGAAATATTGTGGAGCGATTTCGTCTGTACTTCGACATTATTTCTCGTTCGTTAGTTGAGCCGCAATTTGAACGAGTGAAAAGATTTATGCAAGGATGTATTCTATATCATTAAACAAATTAATAATTTATTAAGGCAAAAGATACAAAGTCTCTCTGTCTAGGAAGAAATGCTTTTAGTAAAAGCATTCTTAGTGAAACTAGCTCTTGCACTGAACATACTGTCGGAGATACGTATCTCGCTATACTATCGTAAATGGAAAATACTTGTATCCAATGGTGACTTGCTTTTAAAAAAAAAAAAAAAAAAAAAAATGGAGGGAATCGTTTTCTAATTTGACAATTCTAAACTGATAGCTTTAAAAATCTCTTAGTATTTTTTTGAAATGTCTGGAAAAAAAAAATGCTTTTTTTTTTTTTTTTTTTTTTTTTTTTTTGTAAATGCAGGTCTAGTACTGTCTCATTTTCTACTGACTCGTAAGTCAAAATCAGAATATCAATATATAATTAGAATAAGCTTGCAAGGTATATTTTCCCTTCCTTTCGTATGCCTTTATAGTGTAAATGGTATATGCTGTAACGTGTATTCGAGAGGTCTAAGGTTCGAGTCCCGGCAGGGACACTGCACACTTTTTACATTTCCTACTTCAAAACACCTAATGATTCTACAAGCTTATTGTTCATTAATGTCGTATTATAATAATGTGCATACGCTTCTGTTAGCTATAGGGTGTTTCAAAAACGATGGAACAAAATTGAAGAGATAGCAAAATACACCAAAACATACATTTTTGTCATGAAATGCGCTATCGAAAATTACATATAGAGGAGCGAGATGGTATTTACTTGCCAGAAAACTGCAGTTCCACAAGCATAAAATCGTCGCGGCTACAGTTATTGTGATGATGGAACCCTAAATTTAAGTACATGACTAACAAGAAAGTGAATGCACATTTCCTGACTGAACTAGGAAAATTATCATATTTTTCTATAAGAAATGTTGCCAGAACTACTCGCGGATGTTCTTGAAGCCATCCAATGGCGTATGCTTTCTAGCGCAATGGAACACTAGAATGTTTTTGATGAAACATTGTAAGGATCTTAAGTTTTACTAACGTTTATTTTATTTTAAATCTTTACTATCACTTCTTATTTTCTACTTCCGGCCAGAATTATAAGCGTGAAGGAGTTTTATGCAAAGTTTGTCTGGCGAACGCCAAGTATTAAGTGTGGCCTTTTTGCCAAGCAGAGAGAGAGGAAGCAGTGAGTTCGAAGCAGGCCGCTTACCTTAGAAGTTTTACGCAGTTGCTACTTTGCCTTCCAGGCCAGAGGTTTTAATCCTCTTGATAAATTTTAAACGTATTGTAGTGTTCACACAGTCTCTGTGCTACATACGCTTCCTGTTATTATAAGGCCAATCTTATTCTAAAGTTAAATTAGAGTTTAGTTTTATTTTTATATCTTTTACGTTAGACCCCGAGTGGAGGGTCATTGTATTCCGAAGTACGGAAGTCATTGTATATAGAGAAAAATAAAGGGTTTTGTATACCCTTCGTCTGTATCCTGTCTACTTACCACAATTAGTGAACATAGCTTTAGTAAGCTCTCTGTTCCGAGTCAGGTCATTGTATGTTCCCGAAGAAGGTAAGAAGAAACATTGAACCTGATAGTGGCGCCCGAACGAAGAATAACCATGGCCGAGTTTCAAGAAGAACCTGTGCTGCCTGCAGAAACAGGCTCAGAATCCAGAAATGCCAGCTGCCGCCCTGGAAGGATTTGGTTACATCGTCCAGACCATGCGCGCTTCGATGAAACCAGAAGCAACGTTTAATGGAAACTCACCGGTAACCAGTTTTTTGGAAAAATTGGATGACCACTTCATGCTCTACCCCG